TGTGTGTGTGTGTGTGTGTGTGAGAGAGAGAGAGAGAGAGAGAGAGAGAGAGAGAGAGAGAGAGAGAGAGAGAGAGAACAGGTAAGTCTCCAACCCTGTGGCTGGCCTCACGCTATTTTCATCAATAGGATAAGCAAAATCGAATGAATCTTCCACGAAGGGCAGTTAGAGGGGATAGGGGGCGGCTAGGGGCGATTAGGGGCAGTTGGGGACGGTTAGGGGCGATAAGGGGCGGTTAGGGGCGGTTGGGGACAGTTAGGGGTGGTTAGTGCAGGGTGAGTCACGAATGCGGATGGTGAGGGGCGGTTAGGGGTGGCGGTTAGGGGCAGTTGGGGACATTTAGGGGCAGTTAAGTGCGGTTGAGGACAGTTAGGTGTGGTTAGGGGAGGGTGGGTCACAAGTGTGGATGGTTATGCGTGGGTGCATACAATTGTGGGTGGGTACGGGTGGGTAGGGGTGAAAAACAACCAGTTGGGTACGGTACAGGTGGTTAACAAAAGGTTTGCGTGTAGGTGGCCATGGGTAGTTTTGAAACAGAAAATCCATGGGCAGTTATGGGCAGTTACAGTCTGAAGGGGTTCAGGTAGGGCAGGTACAGGTACCCTTTTTTTTTTTATTGGCAGGTAAGGATGGGTAAAGTTTCGGTAGGCCATCTATACAGTGGGTATGGGTGGTTAGTTTTCAAAGAGGGTAWGGGTAGGTAAGGTACATGTATTCAAAAAAATCCCAGTTGCCACCTTTGCTCAGCGGCAAGGGGGTGGGGGAACGAGGTTTAGGCGCAGACCAGAGGGGAAAACATGCGAATGCATTTCTGCACCAGGTCCATTCGCAAGTGGAGGTGACGGAGAGATGAACATGGCGGACCAGAAAACGCTAGTTCGCTTGATCCTTGACGGAGTCGGGCGAACCAAGAGTTGTTCTGGGGTTTTGAGGGGAGGCGAGACCAACTATGAAGATAGTTTTGGTGTAGAGTTAGTAGAAGGAGCGGTGGAGAAAAAAAAGCGTGCGCAGAGGGGAAAAGATGCTGGATATGGTGGTGTGGAAAAAAGTGTATCTCGCCCGTTCCTGACTCGAGTCGGGCGAGGGAGAACTCTAGTTGGGGGTTGTTTGCCATTGCGAGCCCGTTGGTAGGGTCAGATGCCGCATCGGAGCTGTGGTTTCAGTGCTACGTAAGTCGGGAGCTGTGCTAAGGGGTGAAGCCTGGTACTACGAGTACATGTGATACATCTTCCCACGTTTCCGAAGAAGGTTCATTCTCATATGAGCACTTTGGTGAGCAGTGGAGGGCGGTTCTTCGAAGTGACCACCAAYGGGATTTTAGGCCACGAGGGGTCGTGGGCGTGGTTCACACCGGCTGGATCATCGTTTCTGTCATCGAGAATCTCTTTTACCTGCTGGTGGACTTGCCGCCCGTGGCCGAGCTGAGAGTTTGCTCRTCACCTSAAAGCCCGYTGKYGCTCCAGGCGGTGATTCCGCTGCCACCCATGGYAGTCAGATTGCCATTGGTAGCCACGGCAGTGGCCGTAACTGTGCGTACCTTTACCACAACGATGCCCCTCGTCGTGCAGGTTGCAGTTGACGAGACCTTGAAATTCTCCAAAATAACAACTGTATGTCTCAGGTGAATGCACTTGGCTGTACCCGGCGGGCAAGTTCATTCCCGGACTGCTAGTAACGACGGGATTGCGGGTAGCTTRTGTGGTTACGGCCATCAGCGTMCCTCTCAGACACGMTTCATAASGGGGCAGTCRTCGTAGGTCTGACTGCTGCGGTGTTAGCCACCGCTGTAGAAGAGTTACTACACGTCGCTAACAGCATCAGGATTGTCGTTGCTTCAAGCGCAAGTGGACAGCCACCATCACAAGGCTGGCGGTCGGGTTACTGATTACTGAACAGCTTTGGGGATTGAGACAACAGTTCGGATGAGCTGCTACATTGTTTCACTTGGTACTGCCGCTGCCAGGTTGCCGCTGTGGTCCGGCTTGGGCCTGGGAAGTTGCTGATTAAGAACGAAACCGATTATCGTGGTCCCCTGCGGGGCTGCTGGTACAGCGGTCTTCAGAGGTGGCTGGGGTCGCTGTACTAGTCATACTGCTCGRAGGGCCGCTGTTATGCAAAGGAGGACCGGGTGATGCCCGTACTTCGGTGAGGACCGTTTTTTTGAAGGGATTGATGCTGRATTTTCGAACAGTGGTGTCTGCTCTTCGCTGGGTGGTTGCCGTTATACCGCCAGGGTGTCTGYAGYGGAGGTCCCGCTCATACTGATCCTTGGTCTCGTATCAGATCGGGCGTGCTCGTGGTGTTTATCACCATCCCCGTGGTATAATTGCCATGATTATTGTGCTTACTCACCCGGTGCAAGGGGCATGTAAGAGAGGCTGTTGGGCGCGCCTAGCAAGTACGGTGCTCATCATATAGAGAAAAGGGGGCGCGAAACGAACTGGAAATCAATGACGTACCTAATGAAGTGGCACGCACTGTGAGGCTTTGTGACCAGCTTACGGCGCTCTGATACGCTCCTCCCTAGGCTTGCCTACTGATCACGAGATGCTGAGTAAGTCCTACAGGACTGTCGGGTTACAGTTGTGGTTCGCGGAAGGTTAGCTGTAACTGAAATTCCGGTCGGGGGATGACTGGAACACGAGAAAGGACTTTTGTTGTATAATGGACGTGGTGTAAGGCAAGTCGGCGTGCCTGCAATTGTTAGCCGTGGGTGGGCCATACATAGCCAGGCGAGGAGGTTGTGTTGACTAAGGGGCGGTCGAGTGACCAGACGTGGTGGGTTGTGCTAACTCGAGAGGGTCACTCATGCCTTACCATCAGACAGAAACCTGAGGGGGGATGAGTTGACGCCCTGGCCAAGGTGTCACTATTGTGGTTGTTGCAGTACGTACCACTCACGAGCCGCTATTGCCGCCCGCCGTTGACTAGTATG